TGAGGGAACGCAAAGGTATTGTGAGGGAACGCAAAGGTATTGTGAGGGAACGCAAAACAATATTGCGAGGTAACGCAAAGGTATTGCGAGGGAACGCAAAAGGAAAAAAAACCCATGTCCCCTCTCGGGCTCCGTATCTGATTCCTGGACGACAGTGAATAAATGCTACTTGTAGAGAAGAACTTTCTGTGCATCACTCATCCTCCTCCTCCTCMTCATCTTTGAGCTCCAGGTACTCCAGGCTCACCTCCTCTTCCTCGTCCTCCTGAGAGTCTGATCTCTGCCTCCTAAYGTCACTTTCTTCCACTAACTCTTCCTCCTCCTCCTCTTCCTCCTCCTCTGCCAGCAGCCCCTCTTCGTCTTCCAGGATGTCCCGCTCCTCCTCGTACGAGGAAATGGGTGAGTAGTGCGGGAGGTCGAACACGTGGGGGCTGCTGGGAGTGTCGGAGCTGCTGTGGGAAGGGGAGGTGGGAGGAGCGGGGAGGGGCACCGGGATGGAAAAYGAAGAAAAAGACTTGGATGTTTCACCGCTGCCGCCCATCTTCTCCACGCTGCAGCTGCTCCGGGTGAGACCACCGGTGGAGGCAGCTGAGGGGATGACGGCCATGCCCAGCCCTGGGGGGAGGGCTCTGGGTTCCGGCGCGTACTCCCGGATCTCCCCCGGCTCCAGAGGCTCCGGCCCACAGGGGTCGTGCTCGCTGCAGCACAGCTTGCCGTCCAGTTTGGAGATGAAGAGCAGGCCTTCACGATGCTGGCGGCAGTAGGAGCTGGGGCACATTTCACAGAAGGACGCTGCCTCCTTGCCACATACGTCGCACTGGTGCCACGGACACTCCCAACGACCTGAAACAAATGAACACATGAAGGATGGATGAAGGCAGAAAAATAATATTTTTAAAAAGGCACTTAGGAAGATGTCTCATTCACTGGTCACACCCACCAAACAGGTGCTAAAGTGGGCTGACCTACGCCAAAAAAAGTACCTTAAAGGGATAATACAATATCATGTGTTTCTCAGGCAAATATTTAAATACTACACCATAATAAAGTACCTACGTCACCCCCAGTTGTTATTAAAATGTTGTTTATATGTTTAAATAGAAAACTAGAGACCACATAGCCGTAACATAATGACCCCCGCACGCAGAAATGCACCAGAACTCAGAAGTCTTTATTCCTAATAAATGTCATACTACTAGGTGCATCCCAAAATTGTAGTGGTTTGGGAGGGGGTCTTTGTTTTTGGGTGGGGGGCTTTAGTTACTGTAACCTGATGGATAGCCCCTCATCAGAGCTAAACAATCAAAGAAAATTTGAAGCTCTTATGCTTAATAGTTTTTGAGCTATAACAATTTTTGTATGTCCAGATACCACTTTTTCAGATAAATTGGGGGTCCGGGGGGTGGGGGGGCACTGATTGGTGGGCCTGATGGATAGAGCTTCATCAGAGCTAAATAAAATAAATCTGAAGCTTCTATGTTGAACAGTTTCTGACTTATAAGCATTTTTGCATGTGCAGACACCTCCTCTTTGGATGGAGCCCCCTCCTCAAGTATGGGGTCTATCATAAAACTGTTGGCTGGCGCAGTGTAGGTCAGACTCATCTACAGTCCTGTTAAATTTCACATTGATTGGTGCAGCTGTTTTTGTGCTACGGTTGACCAAAAATCAGTGAAAAAATAATAAACAGTATGAAAACACTGACTCGGTCATAATAAACTTGACTTCTCATCATTTCTGTTTCTAAACACCTTGAAATTGTCCTCTGTCTCTTTAAGAATCTCCTCTGCTTCTGTCCCGCCCATTTCAGCACGGGGCCATGTGTGTGTGTGTTTGTGTGTGTGTGTGTGTGTTTGTGTGTGTGTGTGTGCGT